GGTCATTTGTTGTTGTTGTTGTTGTTGTTTTAAAATGGGAGACAGACTTGTACATGTTTAAATGTTCATGGAAAGGATCCCATGTAAAGTGAAGTAGATGGTCTGGAAGAGAGAGGGAATGATAGATATAGAAAGAATTAGGAAAATGTGAGGGAAGAATGGGGGTTAGAACCAAATGAAGTCCCTGGTACATGGGAAGAATTGGAAACTTGGCATGCATATTTAACTTTAAAAAATGTGAAATAAAACAGATATATAGAAAAGAGTACTCAAAACAAATACATAGCATAATGAATCATTGCAGAGAATATCCATGTAGCCAGACAAAAATAGAACATTGCCAGCACTCCAAAAACCTCATTCCCATTTTCCCTTCCCCATCATATTACCCTACCCCTACTGATAGCCACAACCCAGATTTACTGGTAATTACTTCCTGTTTTTCAATCTAATTTCCCCCTTCTTTTTTGTTTTACTTACTTAAATACATAGTCTAAGCAATGTTGTTAAATATTGCTTATTTTAGCATTATATAAACACAATTGTACAGTGTGTATTATTTTATTTCATACTTATTTTACTCTATATTCCAAGGTTTCATTCAAATTGTTGCAAATAATTTTTGTCCTTGTGTAGTAATCCATGGTATGATTATATCACAATTCATCTGTCTAAGTATTAGTGGACATTTGGGTTGTTTCTTATTTGGGGTTATTGCAAAAATGCTCAGTAAGTATTCTTGTACACATGTCCTGGTATACATGTGCCAGGTTCTCTTGGGTATATTCCAAAGAGTGAAACTTCTGGGTCATTGAGTATGCATGTTTTCACTAGCCAATATCAAACTTTTTCAAAATGCTCAAGCCAATTCTCACACCTATAAGGAAAGGTGCTCAATTTAATTAGAAATGAGCCAAACTGCACTATTATTAATAGGCTTTTACTTGCCTTTGAAAGCAATGCCTTCCTGATCCAGGTGCTTCCTCGGATAAGTTCTAACTGGCTGGTTCTTTTCTGGCTTCAGGCAGACTGAGTTTCTTTCTCATCATAATTTGTTACCATTAAGCAGATCACTGTTTCTCTTGTATGTTACAAGTTAGCTTTTTCCTTGGTAAGCTTGGGGGTGGGGCTGCTGCAAATTCTCTTGTATAGTAGAGATACACATGATTGTTACATTATATTTTAGGATAAATCTTGGGTTGAGTCACTCCTGCAGATGATGGATCTGTCTGACATGTAGTGCTGCATTTGGGCATCTCGGCACATGGCTAGGAGCAGATATGACCTCTGGAGCTGGACTGGATATACTTACTGGTTAAATGACCCTGACCAAGTTATTTCACTTCTCAGGTCCTCAGTTTGCTAATCTATAAAGTGAGAGTAATAAAGTTCTGGCTCATAAGCTGGCTATGGGCATCAAATGAGGCAATATAAGGAGAGTATTTTGAATAGTGCCTGCCATTCTACTAGGGTTTTGATTTATATCTGTTTCAGCTTTAGTGGCAATAGATGAAGGGTTATGAACATAGGTCAAATATATAGGTCAGAAGGAATTCAGGTCCTGGCTGTATTCTCCCCTGGTTCTGTGACCAAAAACAAGATGTGCAACCTCTTTGCATCTCAGTTACTTTTCTGTGTAAACTGAGGTAATAATTTCTACTTTACACAGGTGCTATGAGGTGAGGATTAATTGAGATGGCAAATGCAAAATTCCCAGTGTTAAGTATGGGCCCAAATACATGGTAGCCACTGTTATTTTAGCAGGAGGCAGCTACTGTTTCTGCCTTCAAATGCTGGCATGGAACAGCTCATGGACCCTAAACCTATAGGTCTTATGCATTGACCAATGTGAGGTTAAGGAAAATGAAAATGTATGGAACAGTAGGGTAGAGAGATGACATTGAGTCATTTCACACATGTGAAGTGGTCTTAAACAAGACCCAGCCACTTTCTAGGAGCTAATAAAGGTATCATTGGTGATAGGCAAAAACCAAGTAGTATATATGGAAAAATGACTTCAAGGTTGTAGGAAGGAAGTATATAGTTGAGCAGACTTTCCAGAGGAAAAGGTTTTAAGATGAATTTCAAAAAATGTGTGTGTGCATGGGAGAAAGTGGAGTGCTGGTCATGAAGTTAGACCATGTCACGAAGAGCTTTGAATCTAGGCCAAGGAATTTTTCCTTAATTCAATAAGGAATGAAGAGACATTATACTTCCACAGGGCTGTAAGTCAGGAATTAATATCTGAAGGGTGCAAGGGTATGCCAGTCCAGACAATTAGTGGATCAGAAATCCTATTCACAGGGCTGGGGATATAGCTCAGTTGGTAGAGTGCTAGTCTTGCATGCACAAGGCTCTGGATTCCATCCCCAGCACCAAAACCAAAACAAACAAACAAAAAGAAATCCTATTTACTAGCTGACTGGTACTGTCATCAGATTTTACTGATGCTTTTAAAAGCTAATATTTAGAGATAGATATGTCTACTACAGTTTTAATGTCAAATCAATTATGTGTTTTCTAACACATTTCCAAAAACTAGTTCCAAGGTGGCTGGGTCAATATTGTGACCCTCATGATATCACCCATTATTGTATATAAACTGGAGATAAAATGTGCATGGATTGACTGTGGTGAGCAAATTGTAAGGAACAAAACAGAAGCACACAAAAATGAGAACAGGCAAACTGGACAGATCTGAATAAGATTGGTGGGTGTTGTATAATGTCAAATCCTGCTTGTGATATTATAGTTTTGGAAGACATGAGGTTGGGGAGAACTGGGCATAATGAAAAGAAGGATTTCTTTGTACCTCTTCTTTCTTTTTTTTGGGGGGGGGGTACTGGGAGTTTGAACCCAGGGCCTCACCCTTGTTGGGCAACATTTTAATAATTTAATAATAAATTATTAAAAATTATTTTAATAATTTGTATTATCTTTTACAACTGCATGTGACTCTTCAATTACTTTGACATAAGTTAAAATTAAAAATGCATAAAATTTACATTTTGTAGAAAATGTGCTGCAGTGAGTAACATTCGGATTCCTTACTGATCCATATTTAGGGGTTCCTGGGGCACAAAACAAGCACAATTACTTATCCTGAAGCCCCAACTGGAAAAGAAAGCCAAGTGTCTAGAAGGAACGAGGTCTACAATGTAGGAATTTATATTGAAATTGCAGATTTCATCTCCCCCAAACTTTAGACAGTTCAGTCCACCTTAAGTCAACTTTACCCATTTCTGTTTTATCAAACCAGCGTCACTATTGCCAGAAGCCATGTTAAAATAACTTTTATTATTGAAATTAACTTTCTTCACAAAGAATGGGATGCCGGAGATGCATGAAATTGCCATGACGCCATGAAGTTGCCAGATGAAGCATACGACACAGTTTAGGATTTTTTTTTTCCCCCTGGACCCAATATTCTGAAAAGCACAACCCACATGGATAAGTGAAACATAACTTCTTGAGTGACTTGAAGACCATGTTAGCACAGGGATCATTATGAACTCTGTAATTATCCTTCTCTGCTACGCCAAAGATTCCCCTTCCCGACAGCAGGGCAGTCTTTGACCTGCGCTAGAGCCGAGAACTTTTATAAAGCGAAAGGGCGAGCCGAGGAAAATGGCAGGCTGGGAATACCGCCCGGGGTAGGCGTCCCCCGCGCTCCACAGCAACAAGCTCAATTTCCAGAAAAGAACTTCTCTACACTTGCAGTCTTCCGTGAGTCCTGGATCGCTCAGCCCGAGAGCCAGAGCTTCTGCACCCGGAATGAGGGAAACTAAGGCACAAAAGGTACCGCGCGCGCAGCCGGGGCCTCGGCGCCCGCTTTCCGGAGGGAACCCCGGCTGCTGGAGCTCGGTGCGCGACGACCAGCACCTCCAAGCCGTCCTGCTCCCTCCGCCCCGCCCCAGCCC